CCCAAACCTCTTTCCTCTACTGTCATTCTGAAAACATCCATCATCTCCTCCAAACAAAGGCTTGCAGATTCAATTAATGTACCGGAGGGAGGGCCCCCATACTCTCCCCCCTGCATATCTCCAACTTAGGCTGATTGTTCATAATTCTCCATCTCAGGAAAAAGAACTCCAGGGTATCAGCCAAGCCCCTTCAAAAAATAAAAAGTAGACTTGGGAAATAAATGTAAGGCATCCAGAAAGTATCCATGATATCAATCACTCCAACACATTTCTCTCCAATTGATTTATTTAGAAACAGATCTGGCATGTGAAAGGCAATTTCCCAAGTGAAATTATTTTCGTGCGTTACACAGAATCCACCTTTTCTCCTCCCTCCTCTGTTCTCACTTCTACACTTCATAAATCATGAGAACCAATTAACTGCCCCTGGAATTTCTTAATATGACATACAAAATAACCTTGAACTTTTCAACTCCTCCAACTCTCTTAAAAAAAATGTGGCAGCTGAATTTTAAAGCTGACAGGCCTACTATTACATATGGTGGACATATATAAAAGCAAAAGAGTGGCAGATAAAAGTATGGTTGGAAGAGATAAAAAATAGAGTTTGGACCAGAAGTGTTCCTATTGGGAATTATAGATGAGAAATATAGTAAAGGAATAATATGCTTAAAGTTGCATGTAACAGCTGCAAGATTGGTTTATGCCCAAAACTGGAAGAATGAGGACATCCCCGTCAAAAGTGAAATAATAAGGAAAATATTAATCTGTTCAGAGATGGACAGACTAACTCTAGAAATTAAGGCTAAGGGTGAGACAGAGTATTATGAAGTCTGGAGCAAAATGTATCAGTGATTGGAATCAAGGAAAATAAGAAATTGTTGATGCTTTATAGGAATGAAGGTTAAAGTTACGCAGGCTAAAGAAAATGAAATATAAAGGATGATTATGATATGAATATAAGGATTATAAGGGGGAAAAGGAGATGAAAAAGAAGTTAGGTTATAAATATGTATATAAATGTAAATAGATACAAATATGTAACTAGCATTAAATTAACAATGTAGGAAAAAGGAAAGATCAACTGTTGTATCTATTTTTATGTTATAGTATATATGGCCAAAATGATTGCCAAGAAAATCGCACCGTGTTCAATTGTTTTTATGTTTACTTAAAGAATTTATATGATCAAGAGTTAATATCAGAAGAGAAAATAAAACAATACTTAGAAAAAGTGGAGTTACCTAAAATATCTTAAATAGTCAAAGCATCGTTAGAAGAATCTATATATATGATGGAACTGACAGAAGCAATTAAGAGGCAAAAGAATGGGAAGAACCAGGACTGGATGGGCTGCCAACGGAACTATACAAAGAATTGCAAGACACCCTGTGTAAACCAATGTTGGAAGTATTTAATGGACTTCTGTTAGAGGCTAAGGTACTGAATTCATGGATGGAAGCATATATTACCCTCATACCTAAAGAAGAGGCAGATTTACAACAAATAAAAAACTATAGATCTATATCCTTGTTAAATGTGGATTATAAAATATTTGAATCAATAATTGCAGAAAGACTAAAAAGATTTGTAAACCAATTCATGCATCCAGATCAAAATGGTTTTCTACCTAAGAGACAAATTAAAGATAATACGAGAATAATTTTAAATATCTTGGAGTATTATGAAGCACATCCAGAGAAGTAAATGGCGCTGATCTTTTTAGATGCCCAAATAGAGTTTGATAATGTGAACTGGCATTATGTTAGAACAGTTAAAAAGGATGGATTTTGGGGAGAGATTTGTTGAACTGATTAAGGCAATATATCATAAGCAAACTGCAAAAGCGATGGTAAATGAAGATATGACTGAGAAAGTTAACCTTAAGAAGGGTACAAGATAAGGATGTCCCCTATCCCCCTTACTGTTTATATTGACATTGGAAGTATTAAATAGAAATAGTATGCAAGATACAGAAATAAAAGGCATAGGGATTAAAAGGGAACAGTATAAATTACAAGTGTTGCAGATGATCTGGTTTTTATTCTAGAAGAGCTATTAACAACAGGGCTTAAATTAATAAAAAGAATAGAAGAATATGAAGAACTGGCAGGCCTGAAAATAAACAAAGAGAAAATAAAGATTTTAGTTAAAAACTTTTCGGAAAAGCAAAAACAAGAATTAATGAAGAGACTAGATATTCAGATTATAAAGACAGTTAAATACTTAGGGATTCAGTTGACAGCAAAATGTATAACAATTAAGGAAGATAACTATTACAAATTGTTGAAACAAATCCAAATACATCTGGAAAAGTGGAAGACTCTGCAACTATCACTGGTAGGAGGAGTAGCAACAATTAAAATGAATATTTTGCCAACATTATTGTATTTATTTCAAACAATACTGATAAAGCTGCAAAAAATATTTTGAGGAACTTAATAAAATAATACATAAGTATATCTGCCAAAGGAAAAAAAAAGCAAGAATTGGTTTGAAAATGATGCCAGATACAAGAAATAGAGGAGGTTTTGAACTACCAAACTGGGAATTGTACTATCAGGCTGCTATATTAACATGAACGAAAGAGTGGATTGTATTGAGAAATATAAGATTACTGACTTTGGAAGGACATGGTTTGCAACTGGGGTGGCTTTCTTGTGGTAAGGCAAAAATAAGATACATGGATATTTTTACATTACATAAGGAACGCACTAATGTTGATGTGAGAGAAAACCAAAGAACAATACTGTTTGAGGATTCCAATCTGGCTTTCAACAATGGAAGCATTGACTCACCCAAATATAATTAATATGGGTAATATTATTAAATATAAAGACATTTTGAATGAAAAAGGGGAACTGTAAGCACTGGACTTTTCCTCTTCAACCGAAAAAAAATGAACTTCTGAAAGCTAGGCACTTCAAAAGGAATTCTTATTGAAAGGAAGAAATCCCAGTACTAGTCAAAGCAGAATCTAAGACGTTTCCAAGCATACAGTAATAGATAAAGGGAGTTAGATCCCCTCCCCTTATTTAGATGTTGATTTAGACAATCAAAGAACCAACATGTTAATTCCCCCCTCCCCTTTTCTGGGAACGTATCTTAGAAGAGGTTCTCGGGGAGTATCTTCCAGAGCTGGAATTTTTATGGTCCCTTCTCCTCTTGCTATCTCTCCAAGAGGTGACAAGTTTCTAGACAACTGGCTCCAGTCCTCCAGTTGTATATCATGTGCACGTTATACAGATTCAAGATGATGTTTAATATATTCAGGTTACATAAAAAAGGATTACTTGTACCAACTCCCCGCCCCCTTCTTCTTCAATCTAAGAATGGCAGATACATGGATCTGACAGGAACTCAAAACAAAAGAAGAAATGAGCGAGCTAGGGATCGCTATAACATGGTATTCACGAGTGCAGATGCAATCTAGATATGAGAAAGATGCTAAATCAGAGGGTTTTTATAAATAATTAAAAGTGTTAAATAAAATCCTTATAAGAATAGAAGAAAGGTGAATAAAGTAACTGTATAGTTATATATTGGGTATAAAGTTGGAAGAGGAACAAGTAATGGAGACAATGGGTGAAAAATTTTGGTTACATGATAGAATTAGATAAATGGCAGAAATTGTGGGATGGGAACTATAGATTAACGATGTCAACGGCAAATAAAGAGAATTTGTATAAGATGTTTTACAGATGGCATTTTGCATCTGTGAGGTTAGCAAAGAAGTTTTAAGACAAATCAGCTAAATATTGGAAATGCCACCAGATACCTACTATCATATGTGGTGGACATGTGGAGAAGCAAAGAAATATTGGATGAAAATAAAGACATGATTGGAAGAGATAATAAAACAACATATTGAGTTAAAACCAGAATTATTTCTGTTAGGGATTTTACCTGAAATGTATAATAAAGAGAATGTATATTTAATTCTTAACGTATTAACTGCAGCTAGAATTGTATTTGCACAACATTGGAAAGGGGAGAAGATTCCCCACAGATGAGGAGGTAATTAGGAAAATATTAGAATGTGCAGAGATGAATAGATTAACAGTAGCAATTTAGGAAAAAGAACAAACTGAGTACTATATGATATGGAAAACATTTTATCAATGGTTAGAGAACAAAAAAGGAAGTTAGAAATGAAGAATAATAATGGAGAATAGAAAATAAGATAAGATAGAGATATACATAAGATAATAATTGTTACTATACCTATGATGAGAATAATGAGATGTAAAGTTAATAAGGTATTATCACCAGAAGAAATGTTCAGCTGTTTATTTTAATCCTAAATTTAGAAAAATAATGTCAATATGAAAGTGAATGTTGTAAAAGGGTGAAAAATGTAGCACAAAGGCATTTGTGCCCAGATGACACACTGCTTGAGAAAAAAAATGGAATGTATTTTTGAAACTGAAAAATAAAAACTTATTATAAAAAAGTGGCATTTTAGAAATCATAATTTCTAGAGGGCATCCATTTGGGGAAAGCTTCTCTAGACATTAACCATGGTGTTCGTTCACCTATTTGCCTATGCCTCATTCAATTATATGCATGTTATCAGCTAGGTTTTAAATGTAATCTGAATTGCCTCTTTATAGTGTATAAAAAAGTTGTAGATCAGACAAATAATTACAACATCTACTTATTAAATTTTTGCTCAACAAGACAAGTTCTGTAGTGAAAGAAGGGAAAAAAGAATTCTAGAAGCTAACAATATAGCTATTATACTGTACGTACAGTAAAATATATCTATTATCCAACTAATTCAGTCTTTCCAACTAAGGCCTTTCAAATGTCCAATAAATTTTGGAAGTTGTCATCTTATCTATATAGATAAAAAAATTCAAGGCCTGTATTCAGTCTAGTAGTCACCTTCCTCTTAAGCTAATGAACTTGGACATTAGGTGTTAAAGTTCATTTTAAATAACTGTTTCCTTCAAAAATTAATAATGTCATTTTTCTTCTCCTTATTTTTAGATTTCCAAGTGTAGTACAAAATGCCAACCATTGTCACCTTAATCTTTCTGCTTTTAAGCATTGCAATTATTGTTACTATAACTCTTGTTCAGGTGAATCGGAAACAGATCCTTTCTCCAGGTCTAAAGGTAGGCTTAAATAATAAGGTAGGACTTTTGCAACATCTGATGTTTAACTGAGATATTAATTGCTGAGGCAATGACCTAATATTGAAAGCAAATTACCTGAAAATGTTTAGCCCAAGAAGAAACTGGGCTAAACATTTTCAGGTAATTTGCTTTCAGTACAGCTAGTTTCCACACTTAGCCAAAAACATGAGTGGCACTGTGCAAATTTAAACCTGGATACTTCTTTTTTCTAGATGTTCTCCAGATATGCTGCACTTTAACAACTATAATCCTTAACCAACACTTCGTTTGCTAAACAAAGCATTGTATTTTACAATACTTTATAACTAAATAAAAATGTTAAACTGGATAATATTTCTGAACAATTATTATTAAAAATCTGAAGCAATTCATAGAGAGACTATACAGCTCCTTGTGAAAGATGCATTTTAATTATACAAATTTTCCTTAAGACAAGATTTGGATTTGATGGGTGTAACAAATAACTTCCTGTACCAGTTACAACTTGTTAATGGCACTATTCTTCTAACTACCAATTCCAAAGTAGAAAAAGGGGTGGGTGGAATTACTGATAGAGTAAGTTCAGAATTTGAAATGCATTACAAGTGCAATTCTGTTGAAGAAATTAATGGAACTCTAAGCGGCAATAACCTTTTTCAGACTCACACAGAAACCTGAAAAAAATTGCACTGTTTTAATGAAATTCAGAATGGTGGCTGGCTGTGATCCAAAACATGTCTTCTGAATCATTGTAAACAATAGTTAAGGGAAAACAGTTCTAGTTCTAAACAGAGCAGTAGAGCAGGACAGGAAATAAATTGTGTTCCCTGTAATATTTTGGACTTGTGCCATTTGCTTCTTTTAAAAACTAATCTTCACTAGCCATATAGTACTTTGCAATTAGTGCTACAATTCCAAACAAGTTTACTTATTTCCAAATAAATAATTAAGAAAGTCTTCTGGAGCTCATCGGGATTTGTTCCCTGATCCAGTCTGTTTATGATTGCTGTCTAAAATACTTTATTTCTTATAAAACAAGACATATAAAACATGTTGTTAAATATACTGCTCTGGGGGCCTCTGAACTCAATGGACAATATTACTAGCTTAGAATATTACTGTAATAATAATAGTTTTTGTTCACTTGGTCACACATGGATCACCTTTATTGTTTCTGTGTGAATCACAAGTATATGAGCATGAGAATTCCATTGTATATATTCACCCTGGATTACAAGATGGAGCTTGAAAGAATATTGTAAATCCTCAAAAGTCAGATAGATACTGTAGCTGTTAAGTCGGGTAGATCGGTTCGCATTGAGAGGCGAGACTCGGAGTGAATATTCAGCTCTTTATTGTGAGTGCAGGAATGGAACAGAATAGGCTTGCGAGCTGCTTGGCTTTATACAGCCGGCCGGCGGCTCGGCGGCCAATGGCAGCGCTTTGAATCTCCCGTGATCGGCTCGGCCAATCGCGGTAGATTCTTAGCGCTCCAATCACAGGAGTTCAGTCAGCCAATCACATTGCGGCCCGGGTGGACCAATCGGAATGTCAGTCTTCAAGAATGTTAATACAGAACACCCCTCCCCTCATGGTTTCGTCCGACGCAGCGTGGTGACGTAGTCACGCAGGTAGGCGGGGCTCCGTACTTGCCTGGTTGACCTGCGCGGCTCAGTCTGTGTGTGATCGTCGGCCGGTTTGGACGGGCTCCGCGTCGCTCTCAACTCTTCCGATGGAACCGCCTGGAAGGGTGAGCCGGGCCTGTCGCTGCAGCTCCCGCCCGGACTACCTGGGTTGGTCGAGCTGCAGTTCCTGCTGCTCCCGCCTGGTCTTTCTGGGCTGGTTGAGCTGGCTTGGCTGTACCTTCCAGGTGAAGCTCCCATCTGCGACAGCTCGAGGTCTGCTGGTGAGTATGGTTGGTTTATTTGGACGTTGCTATCTTTTGGTGGGGGGTGTTCGGCTTGCGTTTGGGGGTGTACCGCTGGCCTTTCCGGCCTTTTGTCGTTTCCCTGCTTGGTTGTTGTGGCTCCCCCTCCCTCTCTGCTTTCTGTGGTTGTTGTTGTTGAGGTGTCGGGGGTGTTGGCAGCTAGCCTAGACCGTAGCTGGTTGATGTGCCGCTTCCAGCTTCTTCCATCCGTGGTTTGGAGTCTGTATGACCGGGGGCCGGTTACCTGTGTTATTTGCGCGGGTACCCAGAGTGGGTCTCCCGTGAAGTTCTTTGCATAGACTGTGTCCCCGATGTTGAATGCCCGGTGCCGGCTGGAGGAATCTGGGGGTTTCTCCGGGTTGTAGGTGGGGTGTAGCCGGTCCAGCGAGGACCTCAATTTCCTCCCCATCAGTAGTTCTGCTGGGCTTTTGTTTGTGGTCGTGCTGGGCATAATATGCTGTATGAGTAGCATTCTGTTTATCTTTTCTTGAATGTCGCCGGTTTCAATTTTCTGGATGGTTTTCTTTGTGTATTGGACCATCCGTTCCACCCGTCCATTCGCCGCCGGGTGAGCCGTCGAGGTTAGGGCGTGTCTGATGCCCCGCTCGGCCAGGTATCTTTCAAATGCCAGTGCCGTGAACTGCGGGCCGTTATCCGACACTAAGACATCCGGCAACCCATGTGTCGCAAAGAGTCTGTTAAGCTTATCGATGACCGCTTCTGTTGTTGTTGTCCTCATGATGCTTACCTCCAGCCAGTTGGAGTAGGCGTCCACAATGATGAGGGATGTATGCCCCTTGGTTGGCCCGGTAAAGTCTATGTGTATTCGCGACCACGGTCCTCTGGGGGTTTCCCATTCCAGGACTGGAGTGGCTGGGTGGGTGGGTCTCGTCTCTTGGCACCTGTTGCACCCAGCGACCCATGTCTCGATTTGCTTGTCCATCCCTGGCCACCAAGCGTAACTTCTGGCCAGGGCTTTCATCTTGACAATGCCCGGGTGCCCCTCATGTAGCATTTCCAGTACCCTTTTCTGTAGTGTCTCTGGTATAACTACCCGGTCTCCCCAGAGTATGCACCCTTTTTGTGTGAACAGCTCGGTTTGCCGGTTCCTGAAGGCTTTGAACTGTTCGCTGTCCTCATTTTCCGGCCACCCCCGCTCTACCCAGCTCAATACCTGCGCCAGCCGTTTGTCTTTATTTGTTTCTCGGGCAATGTCTGGCACGGTTAAGAGCGGGCTGGGTAGAGTCTCTATTTGCAGGGTCGTTGTCGTGGGTGCTGGGTCGTCGTCTAAGTCTGGTAGGGGTGACCGGCTTAGTGCGTCTGCGTGTGGGATATTCTTGCCGGGCCGGTGTGACAGTTCATACGAGTAAGCGGCAAGGAACTCGGACCACCTTGTCATCCGGGGTGACAGGATGTTTGGGGCGGCCTTGTTCCCTGCCAGTATTCTGAGTAAGGGTTTATGGTCCATAATGATTGAAAAGGTCCTACCGTAAAGGTACTCGTGGAACCTTTTCACTCCGGAGACGATGGCGAGGGCTTCTTTGTCCAGCTGGCTGTAATTTCTCTCCGGTCTGGTCAGCGTTCTCGAGAAGAAGGCGATGGGTGCTTCCTTCCCATTGGGTAGGGTGTGACTGAGGACTGCTCCGATGCCGAAGGGCGACGTGTCGCATGTCACCGTTAGCGGCAGGGTCTCGCTATACTGGATCAGGACCACGTCTGATGTTAGCAGGTTTTTTGTCTGTTGGAATGCAGTCTCCTCCCACTTCCCCCAGGTCCAGGTGGCTGCTTTATCGAGTAGCCGGTGCAGGGGTTCCGCCACAGTTGCCTTCTGGGGTAGGAAAACATTGTAAAAGTTAAGCAGTCCCAAGAATGCCTGAAGTTCCACCTTGTTTGTTGGTTTGGGGGCTTCCTTGATGGCTCTGAGTTTCTTTCTGGTTGGGTGGATTCCGTGCCGGTCTAGGAGGTACCCCAGGAATTCGACCCTCTCGGTGTAGAGTTGGCTTTTTTTTTTTTTTACTTTAAGGCCGGCGTCTTTGAATTTTTTCAGCACCACCCTTAAACGGGTTTCCAATTGTTCCTTGTTGGCAGCTGTGACCAGCATGTCATCAAAGTAGGGGACCACTCCTTTTATTCCCTGGAGGAGTCTTTCCATGAGGCTTTGGAAGACTCCTGGGGCGACGCTGACTCCAAATTGGAGTCGGTTGCATCGGAAGGCCCCCCGGTGTGTGACAATCGTTTGCGCTTCAGCTGTCTTGGCATCGACTGGCAGTTGTTGGTAGGCTTGCGCCAGGTCAAGTTTTGCGAAGACCCGGCCTCCCCCCAGTGAGTGCAGAAGGTGCTGTACTACTGGGATGGGGTAGGCGCTTTGCTGTAGCGCGTGGTTGAGGGTGGCCTTATAGTCACCGCAGATTCTTATGGAGCCATCAGGTTTGATGGGGGTGACTATGGGCGTTTCCCAGCGGGCATGGTCAATTGGCTCTAAAACCCCTTGCGCGACGAGCTTGTCTAGTTGCTCGTCAATTTTCGGTTTGAGCGCGAATGGCACTCGCCGCGGTTTGAGGCGGATCGAGGCGATGTTAGGGTTAAGGTTGAAGGAGATAGGGGCCCCTCGGTACTTGCCTAGAGAGTCATCAAAGACCTCCTGGAAGTCCCTCACGAGCGTCACTTCCCAGTCAGCCTCGTCTGTGTGGTGGATGCCCGTCACTTCTATTCCCAGCAGGGAGAACCATTGCAGGCCAAGCAAGCTGGGGCGGTCTTTGTCTACGACTGTGAGTGGCAATACCTCGGTGTGGTTTTTGAAGGTGACTTTAAGGTGTCCGATGCCGGCCACAGGGATGCAGTTTCCCAGGATTAGTTTTTGGTCGTCGAGCTCATGGCGGCGGATGGTTGGCACTAGGTGCTTGATTGTGCGCCAAGAGACCATGGAGAGGTAGGACCCGGAGTCCACTTCCATCTTGCAGGGCTGGTCTTCGATGCTCACCTCCACATGTACTTTTCGGGCATCCATGGTCGATGAGTGGTCAATGACGACCGTCTGGTGGGTTTCTTCACGCCGCTGTGCTTCACTGAGTCA